GCATGTTCTAATCGCTCTAATAGGATATTATGGTCGACAGTATCGAATGCTGTATAAATAAAATTGAATTGAATACAAATGATTGTGATGTCACAATCGCAGAATAATACAATAACAATGTGCTGTAATTTCTTTATGTGAAGGGTTCGAAGGATTAGGATTCAGGATTTAACCAGAGACTATAAACCTGAAATCTGTGTAGGACAGCTGATCTGGACAAATGCATTATTTATTTCCTATAAGAGATCACAAGCTGTTCCAGTTCCTGTGTTACTGAGCAGATCCACGTTTCACTCTTTTTAAATAGCACATTGCAACATTGCAACATTTAACACTTTTATTTGTTACAGATTCAGCAGAGGGACGTCACTCACGGTGTGTGCACTGCTGAGAAAAAGGCAGCTTGTTTCAGTTCGTTGCTACTGTTTGATGAAAATACCGGCGTTATTGAAGAATGATAGTTGTGGCTCACCTCTAGGCACAGGCTCTAAGTCATACAGTTTTGGCTCTGTGATAACAGTTTGAACCATCCAGTGCTGATTATGCATTCATAAACTCTTCTAGTAGCAACTTTCACAACCATAGTAGGCATACGGCATGTATGTAAAAGCAAACAGCACAGTAAATTGTGTGCCACAGACATTGCATTTCTCATTGACTCATTTATATATTCTCCTCCTGAAAGTGAAACTCTTACAAATACAGGTACCATGAGGCCAGCAGCAAAAATACTCCAAAAATACTAGTTGTGACACTGAGCCTCTTTAAAGCGAGGTAGCTTTTTACTGCTTAAAGAAGGTTTTTGGGTGCCTCAGTAAATCTTGACCTAAATGTTCCTTTAAAATTCCAACCTTATTTTTTCACAGGCCGGCCTGTGTTTATATGACCTCTGTAGAACAACAAGGTTCAAACATGTGGCGAAGTCAGATGTCAGTTTTGTGGTCCATCTTCTGCACATTGCAATTTCAACAAGGCGGATATCCAGCATCACATTGTTAAGGAGACAAGTGTAAGGTAGTTCCAATTCTCAGTGCTCCGCTCTTCTCTTTCCTAAGCCCTCATCGATTTTCCTACCCATCAGAATTTGGGTAAGAGGTTAGGAAAGATAGGAGGTGTTTTTGGAGCAATGATCAATTCCAGCTGTGCCTGGAAGCTGTCAATCAAAGAGGTCAGACATCTTCCACCCGGATCTATTTGGATGAGCTATCAGAAAATTCGCCAGCTGAGACTTACGAAGGGAGAAACAATCAATGTGTCTTTTTTTATTTCTATTTGTAAAATAAATATGCTTGTCGATTATGTAAAGTTAGCAATTTCATCATGAGTCTGCAGTGACTGATTTGCTTTTAGCCTCAGGTGGCCAGTGGACAAACTGCACTTCAGCGCTGCCTTCATTTTTCTCTATAGAGGTTTCCATGTAGTCACAAGTGTAAACAAACGTAAAAGACAAACCAGCCACTGGAATCTGAGAGCAGCGAGCTGCCACACTGTCACGTGACTCCGCCAAGTGAGAGCAAGAATGTATGATCTTAACTGATACAAATACATCTGCTATAGTCTTTATTAACCACTAATAAACCCAACTAACATGATAGTATAAACATAAACGTGGTAAATTAAACTGAGAATGTAAAATCCACCATTGATGGCTATTGATGTAGTTGCAACAGAGCTAAATCACACAGGATTTCAGGACTTGTTGGTCGCTACCACATTATTTATTATTCTTTATATGTATTTGTTAACAGGTTAGTTTTGGGGCTATTGCTGTAGTTGAGTTTGAGACTTTGTACTGGCCTGTCGTACTTGTCAGGTGTGACAAAGCAGTGTAATGAACTCACAGGGACACACGCGAGGTGAGAAGTTGAAGGCCGACCACGATGAGTTTCTGGCTCTGACTCAACCATCAACATCCGCTCACCCGCACGTTTTTATGGTGAAGGGCGTAGATATTATGCACAAGGACTGGGTGAGGGAGTGTCAGTAGAAAGATCAAACACTTTGTGGGTAGATGTGTGTATGTGTGTATCTAAGCGCAGGCCTGGCCAGCCGGTGCGAGTCACCGCCAGTAGCCATGTTTTATTCTTTTTCATGTTGCAGACATGCCTGCCACTCACTGTCAGAGTCAACCCACTCAAATAGCTTCAAAGGCTACTGTAAGCTTCACATCCACCATCAGTTGCTTCATTAGGTGAACACACACACACACACACACACAAACATGCAGTGCAACAGGGAGATCCAAAGGTTACTCTCTTCGGGTCTTTGGAAGGTCACTGTTTTTCTGGTGTATTGTGTCTGCTGGTTTATGTAAAATGTGTTAGACCTCATAGAGTCAGCTGACTTCTATTAAAATCAAACAGAGCAACATGTCAAGGTAAATAATGGTCTGTAAATAAGAACAGCAGCCAGGTGTTAGGTAGATGAATGTGCATTTAACTCCTTGTTTTAGGTTGAACATGTCAGCAAATCACTGGCTCGTTCAGCAGCAACAATACACAGAACAACTATAACATTTCAAGTGTCTTTAGGATCTCGTCTGCATTTAGCCCTCTCTGTGGTCTCTAATTTATATATAAATGACATTTGTGATGTGTCAGAAATGTTACATTTTGTTTTGTTTGCAGATGATACAAATTTTTATTGTGAAAGAATTGGCTAAAATTATGGTTATTGAAATGAAAAAAATTAAAAAATGGTTTGATGTAAATGAGTTATCGCTGAATTTGGAAAAAACAAAGTTTATGATATTCGGAAACCGTGTAAAGGAGGAAGAGATAGTATTATCTATAGAGGGAGTGATAATTGAAAGAGTGACAGAATTCAGTTTTCTGGGTGTAATGGTGGACAAGTTACCATGGAAACCTCATACTGAACGTGTTAAAAAAAGTTGGCTAAAAGTACTTATATCCTGGGTAATGTTAGATATATATTAGATTACAAGACAATGAGAATATTATATTTTTCATTGTTTCTGAGTTATTGTGTTGAAGTATGGGGGAATATGAAACCATTATATTTATTACAGAGGAGAGCGCTTCGAATGATGCATAATGTTAAATATAGAGAACACACTAATAGTTTGTTTATAAAATCGAAATTATTAAAACTAGAAGACATAGTGAAATTACAGACATTAACTATTATGTTTAGGGCAAAAAATAAAACACTACCTCTTAAGTTACAAAGTTTATTTGTATTGTGTTCAGAGAATGGGGACGGCAGAAGGAAGTTTTATTTTGAGCTCGAACCACACAAAGGCAAATGTGTCCAACAGTCACAGGCATAAGAAACTGGAGTTCTCTCAGTGATCATCTTAAGTGTTGTACAAATGTTTCTCAATTTAAAATCTGCTATAAGAATAAAATGATAAACCAATATGAAGAAGTTGAAAAGAACAGAATTTAATTGTAGAAAAATGATCCTTTTAGTTTGATATTTAGTGGTGTTGCTCATTGTTGAGTATATTGTTCTGTTTGCTTTGTTTTGTTATGTGCAGAAAATTGTCATAGTGTAATTTTGGTTGCCTACTTGTATTATCACAGATAGGGGGCAGGTGTCAATAAGAATTTATTCTTCTTCCTGCTCCTTTTCATGCATGGAAACAGTGCTACTTTAATTGAAAGGAAGGTTGTGTATGGGAAATGAATTACTGCTGTACCATGTGTGAAACAAAAAATAAATAAATAAATAAATACTAACTGCAAGGAGAAACATCTTTCTCTCTGGTAGTAAACTACACTACACTGCACTCCACTACAGTTTATATTATTGGACAAATTGTGATATAAAGCTAATCACGTGGAGTCTCAGAATAAAGATGTAGTCTGAAAGTGAGCAGAATAGGTCCCCTTTAAACTTGCATTTCATTAAAAACCTGCCAGCTGTGAATCTCTCACAGTTTCTGCCTTGTCTGCTTCTCTGTCAGATCCTGCGCATCTGTACAAGATACACTCCTGACCAGGACACCATGACCTTTTCAGATGGGCTGACCCTCAACCGGACGCAGATGCACAATGCTGGCTTCGGCCCGCTTACTGACTTGGTGTTCACTTTTGCCAACCAGCTCCTGCCCATTGAGATGGATGACACAGAAACAGGCCTCCTCAGCGCTATCTGTCTCATCTCTGGAGGTGAATAAAGGACAGAGCATCAGGCGTTTAGTGAGAATGGGAACCGTTGGTGTTGATTAGTGTTGGTACCAAAGAATGACGAGAAACTGACAACGTGTACCTCAAAAAATAAGGACACGAGGACACAAATTTTGAGCAGACCTCATCACATTTCTGTCGGTCCTCAGAGGGATTGTATGGTTACACCTGCTTGTGCTTGCTCAAAAGAAGGAATTACCCACAAATGTTATCTAAGCAATCAGATCTTGGCTGTAGTCACAACTATACTTAGATCGTTTTAGTCAAAAACCACCGCGTGGTGATCAGGGAGTGGATCCAGATGCAGGACTCAAACAGACTAGAACTCAAATCACAGCTTTATTTGCTAAATACAAATACAACTGAGCACATGAAGCGAAGTGAAACATTACAGGCTGCCAGACCAACAGGACCACACATAACATGCTGTTTGCAGCCTGATTGCATCATAGTCTAAAGACATACACTAAGCAGTTTATGGTGAAATGTTGGAGTACGTAAAGAAAATGATTCAGTCCACATTTAAACTCTGCCTGACTCGTATTCGTTCAGCACAGTTAGCCCGTATCGACTCCAGCTGAATGTAGTCTGAAAGTCAGCCACAGGTTTCTTTGAGTAAGGCAGCAACGATCAGACTGTCAAACACATGAAGGAAATTAGAGAGTAATAATGTTTCATTTACTGTATGTCCACCAAAAATCATGCTTCAGTTGTCTTAATCACTCCCACCCGCCATCAGCACTCAGATTTCATCACTGCTGGGTTTTCATTCAGAGCTCTATACGTATATACTCAACCCACAAGGTCTCGCTACATATTACAGGCTCTTGCATAACCCATGAAAGGCACAAGACACCTCTGATCGCATTTGTAATCACATATCTTGACTACAGTTTCCCCAGGTCTAGATCTGAGTGTAAACACTGCCACCTTATGACTGGTTTGTGAAGTACACATTACACCATCAGGTCATCAACATCCGTTCACATTTTTATTTACATACCACGTAATCTCATCTTGTTTGCTCGCTAATGTTTCAGGTAACTGTAAATATTTCAAATGAGTTCCATCACATTACTCAAACACACAGAACCAAACAGCAACAAAATATCAACTAAAATCACTTTTGTTCAAACTAACAAACCTATTATAGAAGGTTAAAGGTCAAAGGTTAAAGGTTCCTTGGCTGCACTGCAGGCACAGCGGTATCGTTAACTTACAGTGTCAGTAGAATACTGCACATGTTATACTTTAGTTTTTTCTCTTTAATGAATTTGCAAGAATTGCAACACAGTGAGCAAACAAACAGCCTCACTGTTATTATGGGATTTTGAGGTGGAAATGAATTTAACCTATTTTGAAATAAGGCTGTAACATGACAAGAGGTGGAACAGGTGAAGCTCTCTGAATACTTTCCAGATACACTGTATCAACCAAACAAACAACAACAACAAAATATTATTATTGTTGAGTCAAACAAGTATTTGAACCCTCAAACAGAATACGATTGAGTACTTGGTGAGGCATTTCTTGTAGTTGTTCACCAGGTTTGCACTCATCTCAGGAGCGAGGAGTCGGTGAACTCTAAATCCTTTCTTGGCTGCCACTGGGCAATTTGAAGCTTCAATGACCAACACAGATTTTCTGTAGGACTGAGGTCTACAGACTGGTTAGGCCTCTCTAGACCTGCAAATAATTATTTCCCCCGCTGTATACGAGTGGAGGTAGGTGGACGCAAGTGAGAGCAAATGCTGAGTTGTTCTCTTTTATATTAAAGGGTTTTTTAACTTTGCAATTTAAGGTACACTGAGATCATTGCTGCTATTGAAAGACAACACTGAACCCGACTGAACAGCTCTGTTTGCAATGTTTTTCTTCTAAATCAAACCAAACTTCATCACAAATAATCGCCTCAGTTTTGTCTATATCATATAAAACCAATATATGAATTTGTCCTAATTGAGCCTCAAGTCTGACGTGTTTTGTGCATCTGTCTGCGTATCAGATCGTCAGGATCTCGAGGAGCCCTCTAAAGTGGACCAGCTGCAGGAGCCACTGCTTGAAGCTCTCAAGATCTATGTGAGAAAGCGTCGGCCAAGTAAACCACACATGTTCCCCAAAACCCTGATGAAGATCACCGACCTGCGCAGTATCAGTGCTAAAGGTAGGGTGGACATTAGCGTACCGTGTGGTGATGATTGAGCTTACAATCAGCAAAGTGATGTTTTTAAAGTGCTGTGTGGTGACAGCTACAGGAAGGCATTATTAGTACCACTGTAGTTAAATAAATATCTGCTATATCCCCAAAGATCATTTATTATTAGCTGAAAATTAGCTGGAAATAAAAGTGGTTTTAAATAAAACATCATGAAAACACTTCAGGACACATAAAACTCTGAAAAGTAAAAAGAATAGAAGATTCCCCATATTACTGCTGCACATGTTTAAGGTTGAGCTGCTTTACTTTCATATAAATTTATTTGAATATGAAGTATTTGCTGAATAATGCATATGCTGTTTCATGTCCAGCCTACATCTTATGTATATTAAAATATAATAATAATAAAACAAATTCAACCTAATTAAAAGGCTTGAGCCGAAATGGTTAACGGTCCAAAGGTAGGTTATTAACTGATTGCTCACTCTCCATCTCTTCATCACTAAGGTGGTTCAGGCTTTGTTGTTGTTTTGGAGACAATGATGATTAAAGCTGGGTTGAGGTGCTGTTACACGACACAGCTTTGATAGTAGCTCTTTGGAAAGTTTTGAAATCCTTTGGTGGAAAGATATAAAGATATATACAGCTTACAGTAGGGGAAATAATTATTTGATCCCATGCTGATTTTTCTAAAAGACTGAGGTCTGGACACTGGGTAGGCCTCTCCACACCTCCAAATAATTATTTCTCCCACTGTGCAAGAGTGGAGGAATGTGCACACACGTGAAGCATCGGCTAGTCGTCTCCAGGATCACGTTGGACGTCGAAGAGGAAGCAGAGGATTGTCTAATATTGTGATGTCTTTATCTTTCAGTATAAACTGCACTGAGATGAGCTTTTGTGAATTGCTGCCCTATAAAAATAAAATTTAACTGAATTAAACATAATGATGAAATGCTGCAAATAACTATATTTTAGGAAATTGTAAACGTGTTTGTGAACATCTTTTTATTCTGCATATACACGACAAAAATAACAGATTTCTTCTATATTGGCTTTTCTTCCTGTTAAATCCAGGATCTAATTTAAAATCCTCCTCAACAATCTGGCCCCATCTTATGATGCTCGTAGTACCATAGCGTCCCAATAGAGCACTTTATTCTCTTCTGCTGGCTTACTTGTAGACCATAGGGTCTTTAAAGGAAAAGCTGATCCTTCAGTTTTCAGGCCCCTCTTCTGTGGAACAGCTCCCAGTTTGGATTCAGGAGACAGACACTATCTCTATTTTTAAGATTTAAAACTTTCTTTTGTGCTAAAGCATGTAGTTAGGGCTGATCAGGTGACCACGAGTCCTCCCTTAGTTATGCTGCAGTATGCTTATGCTTCTAGTGGCCTGCCATGATGCACTGAGTACTTCTTCACTCACCCTTTTTACTCACTATGTGTTTTTTTGTTATTTCTCCCTCCCCTCACTCCCAAATAGTCACGACAGATAGCTGCTCTGCTTCTGCTCAGGTTTTATTTTGGCCAAAGGGGAGTTTTTCCTTCCCACTGTTGCCAAGTGCTTGCTCAAAGGAATCATTTATTGGGGGTTTCTCTCTACTATTGTTGTGTCTTTATTGTACAATATAAAGTGCCTTGAGGCAACTGCTGTTGTCATTTGGCGCTGAATAAATAAAATAAAACTGAACAGGACTAAATTGAAACAGCTAACCGTCCAATTTTTTATCTTCAAGCTTTTTTCAAGCATATATACAAAACAGAGCACACACACAGGAAGGAAAATACTATCTTCTACTACAACAGGTGCTCAAAAAGCAGTGGGAAGAAGTAACACTTATGCACTCCCACCCCTCCACATGCTTCACAGAACTGTGCACCTACCCTTGTCTGCCAGAAGGATGATGATGTTGTTTTATTACTAAGTGATGTCAGTGCCTTCGTTCATCCAACAGATGCCCCCCGCACCTGTTGGATGCTGGGGGCTTTGCATTACTGAAACAGGCTGAAAATGTCACCCGTAGTTGCTCTGTTTCCACGTCTGCAATGTTCCATCCATCCACCCATCCACCACCTCCTCCAGCTTATCCGGGGGAACACCAAGGCGTTCCCAGGCCAGCCGAGAGATATAATCTCTCCAGCGTGTCCTGGGTCTGCCCCGGGGCCTCCTCCCGGTGGGACATGCCCGGAACACCTCACGCAGGAGGCGCCCAGGAGGCATCCTTGTCAGATGCCCGAACCACCTCAGCTGGCTCCTTTCGATGTGGAGGAGCAGCGGCTCTACTCTGAGCCCCTCCCGGATGGCTGAACTTCTCACCCTTAGGAGGAAGCTCATTTCCGCCGCTTGTATTCGCGATCTCGTTCTTTCGCTCACTACCCACAGCTCAGCACAGCATTGGTGAGGGTAGGGACGTAGATCGACTGTTAAATTGAGAGCTTCGCTTTTACACTCAGCTCTCTCTTCACCACGACAGACAGTCAGTGATCGGGCGTACAGCATCCGATCACTGCAGCCGAAGCAAGTCTCTGTTGGATCTGCTCCTCTTTAGATTTTAGCACATCGATGGTAAAATTTGTTTGTTTCACTCATTCATTGAGCAGCTGGTGCTGTGCCTCCTGGAGGATTTTAGTTGTAACAGCAAGGGCCAAACTGTCTTGAGCTATCAGAGTGCGTGCATGGCAGAAGAATCCACAGCCACTTCCAGGACAGCGGCGACATGTGGCGCATATGGCAGGGCATCCAGGCCATCACCAACTACAGGAAGACAACACCTGCCTGTGATGGTGACGCCTCCCTACCAGATGCGTTGAACAACTTCTATGCACGCTTTGACCCTCAGAATGATGTGTTGGTAAGGAAGTCCACCCCCCTCACAAAAACCAGGTTCTGTGTCTGACCTCTGCTGATGTGAGGAAAAATCTTCTCAGAGTTAACCCACGGAAAGTTGCTGGTCCAGATAACATCCCTGGGAGAGTGCTCAGAGAATGTGCAGACCAGCTGACAGCTGTCCTCACAGACATCTTCTGTTGTCCCAACGTGCCTCAAGGCCACCACCATCGTTCCCGTGCCAAAGTCCCCAGTGTCCTGCTTCAATGACTACTGCCCCGTTACACTCATGCCCATTATAATGAAGTCGAGACGCTCATCATGAGGCACATTAAGACCCTGCTGCCATCCCACAGGACCCACTGCAGTTCGCCTATCGCCCCAACCGATCAACTGACGACACCATCGCCACCACCTTACTTCTCGCCCTCACCCACCTGGACAATAAGGACACGTTTCTATGAATGCCATTCATAGACTTCAGTTCAGCATTCAACACAATCATTCCTCAGCACCTGATTGGAAAACTGAGCCTATTGAGCCTGAACACCTCCCTCTGCAACTGGATCCTGGACTTTCTGACGGAGAGACCTCAGACAGTCTGAATCGGCAACAGCATCTCCAACCACACTGAGCACTGGAGCCTCTCAAGGCTGTGTGCTCAGCCCACTGCGGTTCACTGTGCAGCAATGCACAGTTTGATCCACATCATCAAGTTCGCCAATGACACGACTGTGTTGGGTCTCAACAGCAAGAACGACGAGTCAGCATGCGGAGAGGACGCACAACAGACTGGTGTAGAGTCAACAACCTGTCTCTGAACGTGGACAAAACAAAAGACAGGATTGTTGACTTCATGAGAGCACGGAGAGATCACTGTCCACTTAACATCAATGGATCCTCTGTGGAGGTCGTCAAGAGCACCAAATTCCTTGGTGTCCACCTGGCAGAGAACCTCTCCTGGTCCCTCAAAACCAGCTCCATAACTAAGAAGGCCCAACAGCATCTCTACTTCCTGAGGAAGCTGAGAAAAGCCCATCTCCCACCATCCATTCTTACCACCTTCTACAGAGGGACTATTGAGAGCATCCCGAGCAGCTGCATCACTGTCTGGTATGGTAACTGCACCGTATTGGATTGCAATACCCTACAAGCCACCAGTGTTGTACACACACCCCTCAAACACACTCTTCACCCTGCTGCCTTCTGGAAAGAACTACCGGAGCATCCGGGCCCTCAATGCCAGACTGTGGAAGAGTTTCTTCCCCCAGGCCATCAGACTCCTGAACACTCAGTGACTGAACTGACACACTCATACCTTCATACACGTCACTACCAAGCACTTACCTGCAGTATCTCATACACACACACACACACCTTCAGACACCAAGTTACTTTATGCACAATACTCAGTATTTTGCACATTTCCATTGCTTGTGTCTGTATCATTCTGTTCTGTTTAGTGTTGCACTGTCTTGTCTTGTTTTCTTGCAATTTTTGAACTTCACACTCTACGTAGTCCTGTGTTTGTCCGTTATATGTCATATGTAGCACCAGGGTCTCGGAGGAACGTTGTCTCTTTTCACTCTGTGCTGTACTACTGCACATCCCTGAAATGACAATAAAGCCACTCTTTTTTTGGCCATCACAAGGGATTTTTGACTCATGCTAAAAAAGAAAAATGTTCACAAACAACCAAATTATCCATTCATCCAGTGCATCTTCAAGCTTTTTAATAGATATGTTTAGGCCTTTAAAAGGAAAAGACAAAAAGCCAGTATTGACCCCTCAGTGAGGTGAAGTAGTCCTACAGCACGTTTCCACCGCTGTGCTTGACTGTGGGGATGGTGTTCTTTGTGTATTTGTACAGCGGGTCAAGTTGATGGCAGAGAGCTTGACTTTGGTTTCATCTGACCGGAAGCCTTCTCTGAATCATTTAGATGTTCACTGTGTCCAGTGTTGGGGAATAACAGAGTACATGTACCGGCGTTACGTATTTAAAATACAAAATATGAGTAACTGTATTCCATTACAGTTTCTGTATGTCCAACAGCAGCCTTTCAACGCCTCTCTCTGTCTCTCGCTAGCAAAGTGACCCAGACAACAAAGTAAAACTAGTTTTCGGCTACGAGCCGACACAAACCCGACGTATTAGCCAGAGGTCCCTTTACTACGGTTCGGAGCCGCGGACCTGTTTTATATACGCGCGGAATAGTTTTCTATACGAGATCACTGCAAAAAGTGCAGCCTTACCTAATGTGCACCTACTGTTACTCATTTATATTAAGATTTTAACATCTAGCTGGTGTTGGTGTGGAGAGTAACCTTCAGTAATAAATCACACAGCAATAGCACATTCATGTAGTTGTAAAAAGCATGATAATATATTAAGTAATCCAAAGTATTCAAAATACGTTACAAAATACATCAGGTGTTGTTGGTGACTGTGGTTCCAACTGCCTTCAGATCATTAACAAGCTCCAACTGTGTAGTTTTGGGCTAGTCCACCACCTTTCGCCCCATGAAGTGAGATCCTGCATGGAGCTCCAGACCAACAGCATTTTGTATTTCTGCTATTTCTATTTTAATCAGGAATTGTGGGAATGGGACACTTAATACTGACATTTTTAATGTGTTGAGCTTCTGAAGTGCTGATATTTCGAAACACTGTGTCACGTGACCATGGCTAAGTAAGGTTTAGTGCACAAGCATTTACAGTTAACACTCACCTTTTCACTGAGCTTAGTGATTGTTTAGTAGCCCATTCCAACTTTGTGCAGGTTTCCCTGATTGATTGATTGATTGATTGATTGATTGATTGATTGATTGATTGATTGATTGATTGATTGATTGATTGATTGATGCCATAAGATTGGGGCATCAATCAGTCTTGGTTTCAATGGGATTATTTATTTATCAGTCAATTACATGCAAGTCAATTTATAACTTTTATGCAGCGTGACCCAGATGGGATCTGCGGGTCTTACCTGGGGTCTACTTCCTGTAGGACATGCCTGGCTAGTAGAGGCCAGGAGGCAACCACCTCAGCTGGCTCCTTTCTATGTGGAGGCTCAGCAGCTATACTCTGAACCCCCCACACGACTGAACTCCTCACACTATTAATAAGGGAGAGCCCATCCACCCATTGGAGAAAGCTAATTTCAGCTGCTTATATCAGCAATCTCATTCTTTCACCTTTAGAGAACGATAGCAGTGTTAACATGATGTTCAGGCCTGGATTAATAGATTTATGGCGTTTCCTAACATAGATGCTCTATCTGGTAGCAAATGGCTGCATAACATTTATGAAACAACAATCTACCAGCATCGGCATCAGTTACAATGTAAAACCATCAGATTAAACGACTCGTACATAACAGCAACAATCAGTCGACTACTTGTGCACATCCCTACTGCTAGTATTTTAGGTATTATATGGTTTATATTGAGAAAAGGACTATAGATGTTAAGGATTTATATTCCAGTTTCAAAACTGTTTTTCTCCTACCGTGGTCTTGCAGGAGCAGAGCGAGTCATCTCTCTAAAAATGGAGATCCCAGGTTCCATGCCACCGCTAATCCAGGAGATGCTGGAGAACTCAGAGGGCCAAGATAGCCAGAGCAGCAGCAGTACTTCAGCTGAGGTGGGGCCCAGACTCAACAGCAAGGGAAGTCGCAGCAAGGATGCTGCTACTGTGGAATCCCCTAATTCCTCAGACAACGAGGAGGGTGCTGCCACACCACCCAGAATCGAGCCCTAGGAGGCACCCGGGAAACTCTCTGGCATTACTTTGCTCAAAAACATGGGCAAGATGTACATCCCTTAAAATCTACCTAACCTGACTCCTGAGCTTGATATTCCATTTTCCGTCCATTTTGTCCCTATTTTTCTCTCCAATTTCCCCAAAATTCTTTCATTGAAAAGAATATAACACAGAGGTCTCAAAGGATCCCTGCTTTGTGTACATTTCTGAATCGAGCTCTTATTTGACATGCCTCTGGGACTGTGACAGGAAGGGCATCGCTCTCACAAACCAGCAGAGATAATACTCCTCAGGTCTCCTGTGTAAATTCGTATCTGCATGACGGGAGTTTGATAAGTGTTTTCTCTGGTTCGCTCGGTCTTTCTCTGTCATCTGTTTTCTTCTCTTGTATCGTTGTCACATATGCATTGTACATATCATTGAATGGTTAGGTCTCTGTTTCTAAGATGAATTTTGTGGTGCTTTATTCATTGTCTCTGAGGTGACACATCGAGGATTAAAGCGGGGCTCATTTTAAGTCCTTCAAAAGGTTATCTAGAAGGTTACAGCATATAGACATCATGGAAGTCTAATATTTTATATTTCTTATTATATTTAAAACGTTTTATCTTTTATAACCGTTTTGGGTTCACATTTCTCTGTGAATAAGTGTACATCCAGACGTCGAGTTTGTTCGTTTGTTTCCTCGAAGGAGGAAAGCACAAGAGCAGAAGCCTGGAGATACACGCTGATCAGATCGGTCATGTCTGTTCTGCTTCAACCTTCCAGGTAAACTGCTGAGACCTAATGTAGAAGGTTAGATTGAGAATGCACCAGTCTATGAAATCAACTCATTTTGTGGCTCTTGTCAGAACTGATTGGGGAAATTAGGCTGATGACAGATACCAGAGGTTTGATCACATAAGATCCTTTTCCCTGTTACAGTATACTTCAGGTTTACCAAGATTCTCTTTTATTGTTTGCACTTTGGAACTGGGAGAGAATAACTGGAAAACGTGGAAAAAGATTCCATGTGTTCTCGCCATCTGTTTCCACAGTGTCAGATTAGCCTTCTGTGTAGAACAGAGAGGTAGTTCCTGGCTTTAACTGAGTCTATGGCTGCAGTTCCACCTCAGATACTTCAACAAGATACCAGGAACATTTGAAGAAAGTCAGTCCGGGCAGAATCTATCACAGATTATTTTATTTTGGTGTTAACTTGTACTCACTGATGAAATCTGAGAATACAAAGAATTACTGTCATTAAGTTATGCTTTAAATAACTAGCTTTGTTGCTAACTTTATTTGGAGCTAAAGCTGAAAGTTAGCACAGTCGAAATGTTGGCAGTGACCTTTCATTGCATAGGAAAGCTACACAAACTACTTGCTTAACTGGACTTTAGTTGTGGATGATAATGTTACTTCTAATTTTAATGTAATTCCTGCGTCTGACCACTTATTTTAAGTCAGGTGTTAGCAGGTAACTTGGTGATTGAAATAGGATAGAATACCTACTTTATTGTCATAAAATAAGCTAATAAGAACCACAGTGCAAAAACAAGCTAATAAGACTTCCAATGTCTCTTGCCAGTCCCTGTTTTCCCAGCAAGCTGTGCTAACATTTGTGCTTAACCCTCCTGTTTGATTCCAGCCTACATTAGCTTAGCAGCGATGAATGATTGAATGTCAGCCTAATCAGTGACTCCAGTGCTAGCAACATGTACTGCCAAGTGCGCGTGCATCTATTATGGCCTTATGAGAAGAGCTCCATAACCTCTTTTTCTGTCCCTTGCTTGAATCAGTGACACACGGGGGTAATGCTATACACACGACAACTGTACACTAATGTAAAAAGCACACAGTGGGGTGAATTGTGGAAAGACCCCAAACACTGACCGAGCTCTTTACATTGATAGACTTTCATCCCTCTTAAGTCAGCAGAGTAAAGACAATTGATCCAATGTTAATCTCACTGACTGTGAACATAAACATGGTGAAGCTTTGATGAGTAGCTGTAACTATATAACTAAACAAAATGACAATTAAATGGCCTGTATTTGTACAGCGCTTTACTAGTCCCTAAGGACCCCAAAGCACTTTACACATCCACACATTCACACACTGGTGATGGCAGCTACATTGTAGCCATAGCCACCCTGGGGCGCACTGACAGAGGCGAGGCTGCCGGACACTGGCGCCACTGGGCCCTCTGACCACCACCAGTAGGCAACGGGTGTCTTGCCCAAGGACACAACGACCGAGACTGTCGGAGCCGGGGCTCAAACCGGCAACCTTCCGGTTACAAGACGAACTCCCAACTCTTGAGCCACGATCGCCCCACAAACACAAACACAGCACAATGTTCAACTTTAAAACAATTAAGTACAAAAAGTATATAACAATTTTTTAAAGAAAAAGATGTGTTTCTTCATTTCAAAGAGGATGCAGTAAAGATGGAAAGACATTTTTGTTTTAGTTTCAGCAGTAAATACAGTTTACAGGCAGAGTTTTGTGCTAGCAGGCAAAATTCATGCAGAAAATCAAGTTTCAGGTTTGATTTAAACAACTCTGCATTGATCATTTTGAAACCAGATTTTACATCTAGACTGTAATTAAATATTATTATTATTAATAATAATAAATTATTTCAAGTCAAACAGGTTTAAATAAAGCTTTAAGTTTGCATTGAGCTGAGCAGTTAATTTGTCACATTCTGAATAAAAGCACGCAGAGCTTCACAGTTCTTGCTTTGACACGTGACATGAAGTTTTTCCTGATCAGCGCACAGACGCTGCACACACTGCATCTTATCTAACATGGGTTCGATAACGTGGAACCTTTGGGGCTAACTTTTCAGTTTGGGGCAATAGCAGTTTCTGCTTTCTTGTTGATAGCAAAGTGAGAGCAGCAATACCATCCTTGTGTCTTTTCGTTAATGAAACTAGAGCCTTAAGTACAACAACTGAGTTTACCATGAAGACAGAAGTGTGTCTTACAACAAACCTCATTCATTATAACATTAAATTTGCCTTCTTTAGACAGACTGAATCTTGAGAGACACCAGTTAGTTCATTATAGCCGGGCTCCTTTCACACAGCATGGACTGAGTGCCGCCTGTTTCAGTTGGAAACATTATTCGAGCAGCAAGTGTAAGAATTCTATAAAAAGTATAACAGTCATAACAAATAAGACATTAAAATGATTACACTGTGAAAATGATGGTAAATGTGTTCAGTACAGGTTACTCAGTCTGTTCAAGTCTCATACGATTCTGCAGTCCAGTGAAGAAGACCTGCAGTCACATGATTTGTCAGACGATACGTGGACAGCTCTCTGTCATCTGTTTTCTATTACATTGAGACAAAAATGAAAATAATAGTTCTTCATTTTCTGTATTACCAACTGAATTCTTGATTCTTTTGGTAAAGTGACTCAAAGGTATGAAAGTGTAGCACAGCAGGTTACACTGTGAAAGTGTGTGATAGCTATGCTGGTCCACAGAGCAACATTTATCTTGTATTCATAATCAATACTGTCAGATTGTAACATTCTTGTGTTTGGAGGAGCAAACTTTGGTAGTTCGTGTCCCTGCTGTCAGCACGCCAACTCATTCCAGGTGCAGTTTGAAGCATGAATCCTTTTTCATGTCACTCCATCCTGTGAAATTACATTTCAAATGCATAGCACATGAAACATGCTTAAAATGGTGTGTGTGTGTGTGTGTGTGTGTGTAATGACAGATTACTACGCGAGCAAACACAAAACAAAGTCCCCAAAAAACACTCACACAAGGCTAAAGTGATGTCCACTGTGGGCGAGTACAGCTGTTGCATGCGTTGTCATTGCTCTTATTGAAGCGTCAGCTGACAATGACATTTAAAAAGATCAACTCAACATCAGCTGTCATGTGTTTTTGGTACTGCACAACAAAAGGACTCAAAATCACTCCCTATTGTACATTTTACACTCCCACAGTTTATTGAAGGCTCACATTAAAATAATGAATTCTCAGTGGACTGATTAGGATTAGGTGAACTGTGACGCCACACTCTCGCTCAGCATACATGGATGACATTTGTCCCAAAAAAAGGCTCCAAAGTTCAGAACAGGTTTCCACGTGTGGAACATGTGGCAGCACATCTGGAACTCTTAATGTGTGACTTTGATCGGAAACAGAAAGAGCAGCACTTAAGGGGACAGGTTCTAAAAATCTAGATTCTATCACTGCAAATACATATCATACCTGAGCTGTTTAATTTTTTGTTTGTGTGCTTGGATGTGAGTGACGTGTTGGCGTCTGACAGAAGAATGATGTGCAGTATTAGGGAATTTTATCTTAATGTAACATAGGACTTGTTCTCCTGTGGTTCTCTCTCTGACGTGCTCTCCTGGTGAGAGACTTTTTTTATTTTGACATGAAAAGTCCTCACAGCTGAAGAATGTCCACATCCTGTCCCGAAGCATCGACGAGCCCTCGGGCTCCTGGATGCAGCAGGGACTGTTCTCTGTTCCTTTTAGGAAAGAACCTCACCGTGCTGAATTACTTATTAGTCTCCACTGAATGTCGTACCGATGTAACTGTACTCTACTATCTAGCTCACTGCAGAGATGTTATATAAATGGTGTGTGCTTTGCATTCCAGTCGGCAGCTCTGTGGAAACGACGCTCTGTGTTTGTGCTTGGAAACGTAAACTCCCACTGAGACAGGAGGAAAATGCAACACGCGTGTCATTTAGGACAAATGGGACAAATGCCAACCGAGTCACCTCAACTCTCGATGTTTGATGTCTGTTTGTGTTCATGTCAAACAGCAGAGCTCCATCTGCCATTCCTCAGCCAGGGAGCCAGCTAGCTGTCATCAATCAATCGAATCAATCATCTGACAGCTACTTGGTTCACAGGTGAGGTACGAACTTGAGTTCGACTGATATGGGAAGACTAATCAGCACTGGCCAGTATTCTGTACCAACAATCAGTTCAAGTTCAAACGGACCTTTACAGACACTCAACGATGATCTGTCCCCTGCTAGGAAGTTAACCCTGTACATACTCCAGGTCACTGGTGACGTAGTGAGGCTTAGGGGTGGGATCTCTCTCTGTGTGCTTAATTTCATCTAATTTATTTATTTTAACTTATTGTTTTTTGTTTCCTCTTTGACTTTATTTGGAAGATAGGTTTCTGAAAATGTACTTGGTTTGCATGAGGTTAGAATACAATCCAACCTGTACACTGACCATGAGAGGGCCACTGGTGATCTGATAGATCACGATTGGTTACAGTCACGAGGAGCTGATTTACAGATGTACAGAGTACATTTACAGATTTACTTTCTTGTTGTGAATAAAACCCAGACAGAAGTCTAAAAACTCCACGAGTGCCCGAGTATCAGTCTAACCCAAGATGAAGCTAATCAGGAGCCAGAAATCATGACTGTGAACTTCACCATCAGCCATATAACAGTAGGTCTGTCGTTTGTCTGCCAGGAACACCTCCAGGACAGACGAGTTCACCACCTTTTCCATCAGAAAATAGACGATATGCAGTCGTGTATATTTGTGTTAATATGAGACGATATGCTCACAGTTTACTGTGGGATGTGTTGTACATTTATCCAGCCTGTGCTGCAGGCTGAAGGCGACCATGGAAAGTTTTGAGATTTAAGCTTTGATTGGTTTCCATCTCCCATCGTAAATATTGTCTTTGTACATTAACATATACTTTTTATGTTCATATACTGTTTAACTTTACCATGAACTGTCCTGGCAAAGTAATAAAATATATTTATTTTAAACACTGGTGTGTGCGGATGCTTGAAGGACGAAGATGAAGCAAGCCTCGTATTACTAATTTAAAACATTATTTAATACTTTTCCCGTTCTGAGTCCCTCTCATTGTTGTATAAACCAGTCCACACTGAACTGTGTGCACTGGAGACAATTTAAAATGAGCAGGCACTGAGATGTGTTAGCGTCAGTGTAAACTGACATCAGCAGTTTGTCTTCTTACGCAGCGGCTCGGGAATAAAAGAATGAAACCAGCAGACTCGGGGACATTTCAGCATTTACTTTCAACTTCATGTTCCAAAAGGTACATATTATTTTAACAATTAAAATGTGCTAAAGCACTGCATTCTAAATTTCTAAAAGCTGCTTCAGACAAATACAGAACGTTTCAATGAGCATAAAAAAGAAACCTGTATATGTATAATAATAACAAGTGTAAAACATCTACACGTTAAAAATCATTGAACATCACCATTAATGAAAAGAAAATGTAACAGGAAATGTACAAAAGTCTGTGGGGAAGAGGAGGAGGAAGGGCAGATTTCTATACAGGTGGCGTTTGTGTGACGGCGGGCTACTTTAATCAAACATGTCGTCGTCGTCTTCTTCCTCGTTCTCCGACTCGTTGAAGTACTTCACCTCCTTTTTGGCGCGGCCTGGCCGGTCGCGGGTCAGAGCGCTCAGGCCGCTCATGCTGTTGCTGTCGTCCTCGTCGTCTGACGGAGGTTTCTGAGGCTTCTGCACAGAATCAAACCCTCGTGTTAATCGTTCACGTCACCACGAGACTCGGACGCTTTATTAAAGAAGCAAAACCGTAACACGACTACATGATACTTGTTATGAATGAAGAGAGGAAACATAATAAAATTCACTCAAATGACAGTTCTCATTTATTCCACCCTGGCTGTATTATGTGTGTTAACTTCAGACAGATGTGTCCAAAGGTGGACGCACATAAAACAGCCTCCCACAGTATATCGGCGAAGCACTTCAGGCCTCTGTGCTTGGATGACTTTAGCACTGAGGATACTAAAATCCCTTCTAGGGTTTTTCTATATATAAATAGTGGCGGTGGCCAGCAGTCCCTCTCATGCACCTGTGGTATCAACATCTTTACATCACCTTCTTCTCAAGTAATCAAATTCACGAGACTGAGGAACCACGACCTCTGACCTTGACATCACTTGTCTGATTTCTTTGGTAGAAACACGTGTGGTGTCAGTTTGAGGCTACGTCCACACGTACCCGGGTATTTTTGCAAATGCAGATTTTTCTATGCGTTTGCACCTTTCGTCCACACGTAAACGGCGTTTTGGTCACTGAAAACGGAGATTTT